TCCCAGGACCTCATACATGCTGGGCAGGCGAACACGCTATCCCTGAGCCACAACCTGGCACCCTTAACCCCGCTCCAGAACCCCCTGCAGCTGGGAGCAGAGCTGGGGGAATGCGCTGAAATGCCTTCTGGCTGGGGCGGCACAGTTACCAGATCCCTGGAGTCCGTGGCCCAGAAGTCAACGGCACGAGCTCCTTTCCTCTTCCCTCTCCCCCTCGGCTTGATCTTCACCTCCTGTGTTCCTGAGTTAAGCTTCCAGGGGAGCTGGGACTCTTTCGCCCCTGTCCCTCGAGGGACAGTTGCCAGGTGTGGCTGAGGCCACTCGGGAGCCCTGCAGCTGGAAGAGGCGGTCATCAGGCAGGAGGGGAGCAGCGGGGGACCCACGGCGCCACCCCTGCTCCCTGGAAAAAGAAACAGGTGGCTCTGTGGTGTGGAGGCTCGCAGTCTCTCTTCTGTGGAGGCTGCCAGATGTCAGAATGAGGGGAAGCCCGGGACCTGGGAGGACAAAGGACAGAGCATGCTGAGCTGCTCTGTCCCCAGCACCGACATCAGTCAGTCAGCCAGTGACACCCACTGACCGCTGACCACTGATGGCCCCTCCAGCTTTACTGTTCAGATTTACCCCATTTTAACAGAATGGGTAGCTGGTAATTTTAGATGATTTTCTTTTTTTACTGCCTCACAAAAGTAACACTGCAGTTTTCTAGTACTAATGATCATGTTATACAACTTCACTTTATGATCAGTAATCACAGAAAAGTTTCCCGTTTTGCATTATTGCCTTCAAATTCGTTGGGAAGCACACACTGATAACTAACGTACTTCTTTCTGCCAGAACCGGGGGTGCCAGGTCAGAGGCTGTGGCCCCGAAGATAACAACAAACACCGAGCCCATCACTGCCCTAGGTGGTGACTCAGCAACGTGCTTAGCTCTGACAAGCACGGCTCCTCCAGGAGGAGCGGCCCTAGGAGAGGACCGCTGAGGCTGCCAGGGCTTGCTCGGGCCTGAGAGGGGAACTCGGGGCGTCTGAAGCCTCCCAGTGCCTGCCCGACCCTGGCGTTCCCTTGAGTAGGAAATGAGAATGAGGCAAACCGTCCCAGTGGGCACAGCCTGCCCTCAGCTCTTTATTAGTTCCAAGACTGAGCTCACTCCTGCTGCAGAATGCCGGGTGTGGTGGTACACACTGTGATCCCCAGATTCAGGAGGCTGAGGCAGGAGGACTGCCACAAGCTCAGGGCCAGCCTGGGCTACAGAGCGAGTTTGAAGCCAACCTGAACTACAAAGTGAGACTCTGTCTCAAAAAAAACTACGTAAATAAATCTGCGGCAGAAGGTGGTGGACTTGAACTAGTCTGATAAACTTGAGACTCAATAGGTGGGAATCAAGGCCGCTAAAATTTACGATGAAGAGCTGAAAATTTTTAAAATTCACTTCTCTGAAAATCTTGGGGCCTAAGGGAAGGGAAGAACCTTTCATGTTTGTGTTTTCCCAGTAAAAATCAATCCTGACAGGAATTTTCTAAAATGGCAGGTACTGACAAAACTAACAAACCAAAGAGTTTTATGTGAAGCATATTTATTAATTTTGGTTCCCCTTTATAGACATTTTAATTTCTATCATAAAATGAGTCATATATTTTCATAAAAATAAAACATTATTGAAATGCTGCTTGATATGTAAGATAACTTGGATGGTCTTCCTATAAAAACAGATCATAACTAATGATGTGTTCGTAATAGTGGCGATTGTTAGATTTTTATAAGACTGAGCGGCTGGCACTGTGTGGCAATACTTGGTTAAGCAATATTTAGCAATACTTTGGACTTCAGACGCTGTGGCTATCTAATGTAACCCTTTAAAAATTCTCTGCATTCTCAGCAACTGTAGTATACTTATTGTGCAGTGTTCAGTATCTTTTTAAAGTTTACAAAGTTATATTTATCAAATAAAAATTTTCCTACATTAAAAAAAGGACAAATGAGACTTTTGTCTTGGAAAGTGAATGTACAGGTAGGGGATAGTGACACTTACATATAATTTCAGCACTCAGGAGGCTGAGGCAGGAGGATCTCAAATTGGAGGCCCGCCTGGACTACATAGCAAGTCCAAGTCTGGTCTGAATTACAGAGCAGGACCCTGTCTCAAAACAAAACAAGACAAGACAAGACAAAACAAAACAAAACAAAGCAGCAAGGCTGGCAGCATGCAGCTGCAGAGTCCTGCCCTGCCTTACCAGCCTTTCCCTACCCCTGGTGAGTGCAGAGAGCAGGGAGCTGGGAACGCCTCTCTCGCGCGCCCTCTGCTGTGACCTCACATCACTGCAGCACACCTGTCCCAGGCAGTGCGGGGCTGGTCGTCATGGAGCTCCTCCCACCCCACCTTCGACCTCGGGGTTCCATCCGGGGTGGCAGGCTGCCCGCAGGCCTCGTGCCACCTGCGCGTCCTGGGGACAGTCTCCCAGACTAGCTTTTGAACTCCTGCACGGTGGGCGACAGAGGCCAGGTATGCAGACTGCCCCGCATCTGAGTTTGCCTGGCGGTTTCTCCCGGCTGCACGGATGGTGGGCTTGGGAGGAAGCCCGTGCGGTGAAGACCCTTCCGACCCAGGGCGCCGGGTGACGGCGCGGAGGGGCGGATAGAGCGTGGCTCCCCGCGAGGGCCTGCTCTACCTGCGCTCGTCCTCCTCCCCCACGGCCTCCTCCGTAACCCCTGCCGTTATTTTAGGGTTAACGCTGTTCGTGCGGCACATCGCCATCTGTCACCTCTGTGACCCACAGCGGCTGGGCCGCTCCTCCTGTGGCGGGGGAAGCCTCATGCAGCCTCGTGTCTCCTGACACAAGAAGCTAAACCCTAAATGCGAGCTGCCCCCAGGGTCCTGGAGGCAAGCAGGACACCGGCCCGCGTGGACAGGGGAAGATACACTCCGCAGGGTGCGCGGGGCGAGGCCGCTCCCTGACGCTTTGTCCTTTCCCCAGGGAGGTAACTAGGATTCGATCAGAAAGGGTCCAGTCAGGCCGTGCTGCATTCCTGTTTGCCTCTCTCGGTTCTTATTTAATTCTGAGCGACCCTTGGGCTGGGGGTAGGCAGTGTGTCTGCCCCCAGCCAGGGCTTGATGGACTGGAGATGTAGGCAGCGCCTCTTGGGCTGGTCCCCAAGTGGCCACCAGCAAGGGCCAGCTGGAGCAGGCAGACACCGCAGCCTGGGCCTGCCCCAGCCCTTCCCCTGGACGTTTAGACAAGGGCGGGACAAGGGCGGGAGTGCACGCAGGGCGTCTCCATGGCCAGCCCCTTGAACACGGCATCGGGGGGAGGCTCTGAGCTGTCCTGTTTAGCCTGCAAAGAGCTGAAGACGTAAAACACCTGAGACCAGGGGCCGGGGAAGGGCTGCCTGGCTTCCAGGTCATCCTGAGGCCCACAGGGGCCACTGTCCCAGGGCTCCAGGGGGCACCTGCAGCCTTAGGATGGTGACCCTTTTGCCGCAGGTAGATGACACAGGCTTCGCGGTTATAGCCTAAGAGGCTTAAGAACAGTGGGTATCTCGGGGATTCAGAAAGGAAGGACAGGAGGCTCGTGTCTCCCCCTTTCCCAGTTTGCCCACATGGTCTCTTCTCACTCCTACCAGTCTCAGCAGACCACCTTCCTTCTGTCCTCCTTCCTTTCTTCTCTCTCTCTTTTTCTTTCTCTTTCTCTTTTTCTTTTTCCTTTTATTTCCATCAACAAATCCCCAAAGAGGTGGTTTCCTTAATCCTGGATCTATGCAACACTTAGTTCTAGCCGTTGTGCTCTAATCTCCACCTGTGTGTGTGTGTGTGTGTGTGTGTGTGTGAGAGAGAGAGAGAGAGAGAGAGAGAGAGAAGAGAGAGAGGGAGAGACCCTCGGCTCAGCCCTGCCTGGGTTTCTTGGTCTGTACCCACTCTCGCCCACACTGGAGGGGAAGGAGGCTCACACAGCATGTTGGTCAGCACCCATGTTTAAAGAAGGGACAAGGTTCCATTCAAACTGGCCATGCTTCTAGCAGCCCCTTGGCCTCCATCATGACCTTGTTACCCAAAATGTAGCCTCCTGCGGTGAGTTATTCTGCTAACGATCAGCAACTCTCCTCTCGCACCCTGGGGGAGGATTCCTCAAGCAGGCTCAGAGCCTGGGCCTGGAACTCTCCCTCGATGCGTTGGCACTGCCCCTTGGGGTGACTGTCAGGCTGCCAGGCCAGGGCAGGCAGTTTGTGGGGGCAATGGTCCACGGTACGGTGGACCTGCACGGTGCGGCCCGATTGGCCCAGGCCTGGGGCCTGGAGGAGCCCAAGCCGAGCTGGCTTCTGTCCCGTGGCGGGTCCCGGGAGTAGCGCTTCTACCTGCGTGGGGTGGTGCACACCTGCGATCCCAGCACTCAGGAGGCGGAGCCTACATAGCTTCTACATAGCAAGACCCTGTCTCAAAAAACAAAGAAAGTGGCCTTCTGGTAGCAATTATCAGGCCTTCTCCGGGTTGAGTGCTGTCATTCTTGTCAAGCACTAACAACAGCAGGACATTCGAGGTCTGAGGCCTCAGAGTGGGCCCTGCCTTCAGTGCGGAGACGTGGGGAGACACCAGGATTACCTTGCGGCCCCGCTGTCTCTCCAAGTCTCCTCAGACAGCTCCAGACCTGCGTTTTCACACCTCTCCTGCAGGGTGTTGACACACGGGCGGCTGTCCCGGCCCAGAGCTGCCCAGGGGCTCTGTGCAGCGCTTCTGCCTGGTGCTAGGCGCCGCCGGGCACCTGCCAGGCCTGCGGGACGGAGGGAGCACTCCTGCCGCTCAGGACCACGGCTGTTCACAGAGGCCTCCGCGCACACACTTGACGCAGGTGGCCAGATCTGTCCAGCTTTCAAAACACACCATCCGCGGTGTGAGGACGGAGGGGAGGCGGTCCTGGGCCTGCCTGCCTCGCTGCGCAGTCCCTGCTCCTCGGTTCTGGCCAGGGAGAGTCCGGGAGTGGCCAGGAGGCTGAAGTTTGAGGCCCACAGTGGAAACAGAGGCTGGGGAAGGACCTTGGCCCTGTCTCCCGGGGCAGCCTGGCCGTCTGCCCGTGGGCACACCGTACCTCAAAGAGGTGAGCTGCCACCCCCTCAGGCCACCTGAGTGCCCGGCTGGACACACACGTGTGTTCACTCAGTAACTCCTTTTTGTACAACTGTTCATTTTGAAAAAATTTAGACCGCAGAAAAGCTAACAGACCCCCAGATTCCTTTGCATGGATAACTAACATTCTCCTCCCTTTGCCTTACTCCTGCTCTCTTTGCTCATCACGTGAACAGGTGCACACACAGCGCTATGATGACTAGCTCTCTGCGGCTTTGCAGCTGTTTCCGACAGTCAGGCTCGCTTCAGCCGGTTCCTCCCGAGAGCAGGCGCGTTCGTGTTTGCATCTGCTCAGGGCAGTTACCAAATTAAGGGAATGTCATCAATACATGTTACCTGGTGAACGGTCCACATCGGACTTTGCCCGTTGTTCCAAAGCTGCCTTGTGGAGCATTTTAGCCAGGATTGCACTCCTGGATTTGGTACTGGGACAGATCACCAGGTCTCCTTTGTTTTAACCTGGAAAAGTTCCTCTTCTCACTGTTGTTCTCACAACGTGAGTCTCTCTGGAGGGTCTGGCTGTCTGGCACCTCTTCATAATCACACTCAACTGGAGCCTTTCCGAAGGGCTGCTCCACGGTGAGTGTGTGCAGCGTGCAGAGGCGAGAGGATCACCGTGAGCGCACGGCCAGCCTGGGCTATGCATGCGTTCAAGGCCAGCCTGAATTGTATAGTGAGAACCTGTCTCAAAAAAGAAAACAAAACAAAGTCACAGCAAGCTGTAAGGGCATGGCGTAGTGGCAGAGTCCTTGCCAGTGAGCCCAGTGCCCTGAGTTTGATCCCCAGCACTATATAAAAAAATTCACTGATTGTCCAGCCCCTCCCCCAACACACACGCACACGCACACGCACACACGCGCACACACACACACGCACACGCACACGCACACTGAGGATCTCTCCTCTCTCTGCCTGAGGCTGGTGTTGGTTGGGCTTCTCCGTGCAAATGAAAGCACTGGTTGGAGTCAGGGTGTCACCAGCTGGGGTCTGAAGAGGAGACAGAGGACTTTTTTGCACCCCACCAGAGGTAGCTGCAGGTTCACTCACTATGTCACAGAAAAGAACTGCAGAAGGTGCCAGTGAGAGGCATGAACAGTTTTCTTAGGTAGAAGGGAGAGTGGGTGCTCAGCACCGGATGCGTGCTGTGAGGTTGGGATCTCCAAGGTCTCGGGGTATCTTCACGGTGGACCATCTGCAAGTGTGTGCCTCCACCTTGTAGCAGAAAAACCAGTATCAATCCCAATGGAAGACTCTTTGCACCAAGGAGTTAGAAGGCAACTTTCATTATGCCAGCAGTTTGGGGAACCCAGAGGTTCAAATCGCCAGCCCAGAATCAGGTTTGGATTCAGTTTAAGTATGGTTTTCGAACGGGAAGTACAAAGCTGATAGCGTGTCATTACATGATTGGTTGCGTGGAATACCAGAATTATGTCACATATTGTCAGGCAGGTTTGTACAGGAGCATTCTGGGGGGAGGGGACCTGAGAAGAGTAGAAGAGTAGGTAGTGTTCAGCGTGTCTTCAACTGAGCCAGTCTTCCCCCAGCATCACCTTGAAGCCCTTGAAGCCTTGAAGCAAGTTGGAATCACTGCATATTTTTAAACACAAGCCAGACGCAGGCAGTTTGACCTGCACATTGTTGAGAGGGAACATCTGGGCCTGGACAGTCAAGGCCAGTTAGGTGACAGGTGGCATGAGCACGGCCACAGGCTATGGAATGATTTCTAACTTTTATTATGGAGTGCCTGCGAGTCTGCTATTCTGTAAGTGCGCCCTCACAACCTGTCTGCTGGACTGCAGGCCCTCTGTGTGTTTGAGTTACAGACAGCGGTGCAGCTTCCTTGAGGATGAAAAGCAGGGCTTGTTAGCAACTTTTGCGGTGAGTTTCCCAGAGGGGAAGAAGGCAGTGCAACCTTAGGTAACTGTAACCCACAGCTGCGGTTTTTCTTAAAGGTACAATTTTTAAATTACAGTTTCCTCTGTCTTCTTTCTCCCTATCTTTATCTTTTCTACCCAACCTCAGGACATCTGAAAGTGGGACTGCAGGCCCAGCGCAGTCTGTGTGAACTTGGACAAGTTTCTTACCCTTCTAGGCCTCGCTTTTCGCCTCTGAGCTGGACACATTAGTCCCTGGCTATGGGTGCTGAGGATGGCATGAAGCGCTCTGTCCAAGCGGGCCTGGGCCAGCACTCATGCAGCCCTGGAGGCGTGCGAGGCCGAAGGCAGCGTAGGCAGGGGATGGTGCTGGGCAGAGGCCCTGGGGGGCTGGAGCCCCAGGATGGCATCCACACTGGGAGCCGGCTAGGGGCGGTCATCCTGCTGTGAGCGGGCAGGACGGGTACTCCTGTCACAAGGCGGGAGGCCCGGATGCCTCCCTCCTTCACACTCCATCCCTCTCACCTGCTTCCCGAAAGCCTTCCAGGTGGCTCTGATGGGCACCTAAGATGCCTCTGCCTGCTGAGACAGGAATGTCACGTCCTGGCTGGCCTGGGCAAGGCTGGCCCAACTTGGCAGGTCCTGGGCTCACCCAGGGGCATGGGGGACAGGTCCTGCCTTGCGGGGCATGGAAGATGCCAGGGTGAGGGCCCAGTGGGAAGGCAGACTAAGTCTTGACCCTGGCCAAAGATCGTGGGCTGACAGAGGGGCTGGAGGGCGGGCGGCTGCAGGCTGACCAGGGACGAGGGAGGGCAGGCAGCGCTTGGAGACCAGGAAGCCTGCGCCTGGGGCAGGAGCACCTCTGGGGCTTGCTCGGCTGCCTAGCTGCTGCGGGCTGTCCCCCGCCCCTCCTTCCCCGCCCGGATCTCTGCTTTGAACTGACTTCTCACCCTGGGAGGTGGCTGACCACAGGCTGGAGGAGGTCCTTTCTCCCTCCAACTCCACCTTCGCAGCACCTGCTGCCAGCCTGGAGGGCCCCCGCCCCGCTCTGAAAGAGTCTGGATGTCCTGAGGGCCCATCCGCTTCAGTCTGGCAGCCCGGTGACAAGGAAGTCTCGTCCCCAGCCCCTGGAGCCCTCCTCTTCCTCAGGCTCCTGAGGCCCCGAGCTCTGCCTGGCCCTCCCCACACCATTTCCTGCTTTTACCTTGAGCATCCTGCCTCGCCCCAGCCGCAGCCCAGCTCAGGTTTCCATGGCAGGCAGATGACAGCAGGCCTTCCTTCTGACACCGGGTTTTGGCAGGTCTAGCTCCACTCTGACAGACTTTCTGACACACTTCCTCCCAGAGACTTCAACTGCACTTTCCCATGTAATGGGACACCTCCCCCACAGGGAGGAGGAGGGTCTCCCGCAGGCAGGCAGGATTAAACCTGATGACAGGGCCTAAAAGTAGGGGCTGGGATTCAGGCTACAAAGGGGAGCAGCAGGACGGGTGGGCAGGAAGCAGGAGGGGTAGAGCCACTTCTACCAGCCTGGGTCGTGGGCTGCCCAAGCAGGAGGGATAGGGACAAAGGGCACGGGGCTTCTCTGCTAATGGGACCCCAATGACACCCCACTCTGCAGAAGAACAACCTTTTTTTTTTTTTTTTCTCTTTTTGAGACAGGGTCTCCCTGTACAGTTCAGGCTGGCCTTGAGCTCACTTTGTAGCCCAGGCTGGTCTCAAACTGGCAACGATCCTCCTGCATCAGCCTCCTAAGTGCTGGGATTACAGGGGTGCCCCACCATGCTGGACATAGGAGAACCCATTTTGAGGGGAAGGAAAGCCCAGCCTGGAGCCGGAAGGTGAGAGGAGAACAAGTGGTCCTGCAGGGGACAAGGGGGCACTCGGGGAGGCAGGAATGCCTGACAGACCTTCACTGCGTGCCCTTAGAATCTGTGACCCGTCCGTGTGGGAGCAAAGCTCCCATTAGGGGAATCACAGGCCACAGGAGCAGAACATACTCGGACTGGCCCAAGTGACAGGGGTGACTCCTGGGAAGCAACTAGAACGCATCGCTTAGTTCAATCTCCAAGGTTGTTCTCTCTCCCTGCTCCAGAAAAGCAAGTGGCTGACAAGCCCAGACACACACAGGGCATTCCAGCAGAGACAGAGGGGCAGACGCGTCCCCAGGATAGCGCGGACAGGAGGGTCAGCAGGATGCCAGAGGAACCAGCGCAGGAACCTGGGCTGGGATGCAGCAGCACCGGAGCGAAGGAGCCGCGGCAGACCCCGCGGAGGACACGTGAAAGGGCGGCTGCGGCGGAGGCCTGACACGCTGTTCCTCCTTCCCGGCCTGCTCCCCGGCGTTCTGAGGCTCTTTCCGGTACATTCCCTTTTCAGTCACCCGTTTCAGTTCGAATTGCACTCTGTGCAAACAAGGAACTCTGACACATGTCAGGAAACGGCTGTCCCAGCCACAACTTGGCATTTCCTTTCTCTCTCTCTCCCTTTCCCTCCCCTTCCCTTTCCTTTCCTTCTTTCCTTCCTTTCTTTTTTTTCTTTCTTGTACTGAAGATTGAACCTAGGGCTTTACACATGCTAGGTAAACACTTGACTTGCTTTTCTGATTGTTGGGACAAAATACCTGACACCCAAAGTTAAGGAAGGAAAGGTTTACTTAGCTCACAGTTTGTGGAGGTTTCAGTCCATAATCAGGGTGGAGGTTTCAGTCCATAATCAGCTGGCCCCAAGGCAGGGTGGCATGGCAGAGGAGCAACAGTTCATGGCTGCAAGGACGACAAAAGCAACAAGAGCAAAAGGGAAGGAGCAAGCCTCTTTTCCTCCCTTACATTGTAACCAGGCTACGCACCCTAGCGTGGGTGTAGCATTCACAGCCGCAACCCCAGCACTAGACAATGAACCAACTGCAAACTCTAGATTCAGCCGCCTCTGAAAAGCCTTCCCCCCTTGACTATATGAGGCTTTGGGGGGGTCATCTAGACATAAACCATAACAAAACTCTACTGCTGAGCTACACCCCCAGCCCTTTTAATTTTTATTCTGAGACAGGGTCTCACTATGTTGCCCAGGCTAGCCTCAAACTTGTGATGTTCCTGCCTCAGCCTCCTGGGTAGCTTGAATTGCAGGTGTGCACCACCATGCCTGGCTGGCATTTTCTCCTAGTAAACAATGACATACTATACAGCTTCAGATTCCTGGGTGAAGCAGCCTGTTCAGCCGGCTCATGTCAGCTATCCTCTCATGTCCACTCGGCTGGGCCTCGGAAGAAGGCAGGGTGTCAAGATGCAAGTCGGTGGGGGAGGCTGGCACAATGTGTGTCCACATGCAGTTCTGAGGACTGTGCGGGTGCATTTCTGAGGGGTCCTAGTCATACTGTAGACACTGAAAATGCCTCTAGTCAGAATTTTAACAGGTGGCAGTAAAGTATGCTGAGAAAGGAACACAATCCTTATGTAAGGGCTCCACAGGGTAGTGGTGACCCCAGGCTGGGCTCGCTTCTCAACTAGCAAAGCGCTAGTTCTCAGGGAAGATGGCGTGGTTTAGCGCTGTGATACTGCAGTGAAATACCAGAAAGAGGGCACCTGTGAAGAAAGGTTTAAGGTTTATTTAGCTCACACATCTGGAGGTTCAGATTCAAGATCAGGCAGCAGAGAGAGAGAGGGGCGGGGAGAACACTCCCGCTTCTTTGTATCTGTCTAACTGCTTCTTTTTTTTTTGGTACCAAGACTCGAACTCAGGACCTTGGGCTTGCCAGGCAGGTGCTTGTGCTATATCCCTGGCCCCTGTCTGTCTAACTGCTTCTGACCACAGCTTTCAGAGCTGCTTTACTCCCCTGCCTCAGCAGACTGGGAGGAGACAGCCAGGGTGGCGGCAGCGGGCGAGCTCAGTGGAACCCTTGCCCAGCATGTGTGTGGCCCTGGGCTGATCCCCAGCACTGTGGAAAAGAAGACGACCCAGAAAGTAGCTCCCTCCCAGACGCACACCACCAGACAAAGGCATGAAACCCCGGGAAATGAGCTCACGAAGAAAAATAAGGCACCCGGGTCATGTGATGTCTGTAAAAGAAATCTAAAAAAATGAGGAAGAGAATTAATGGACTAGTGAGAACAAGAATTTGAAGTAATCATAAAAACATCCTATAAGAGAAAATGGAGATCATTATATATTTGGAACAGGAATGATACCTATAAAGAAGTTATCAAGTACAGAAGAATAGCTGGGACACAAAGTTTAGTGTGTAAGTGGAGTAGGAAATAGATTCAGACTAAGAATCAATTCCTAAGCTGGAAGGTAAGCCTGCAAACTCTCCCAGAATGTGTCAGGAAGGAATAAAGGGGTAAAAAGTACAAGGGTAAAGTGACTAAATCCAGAAGATAGACATGTCTCCAAAATGGGAGTTCCAGAAGAGAAGGGAGAAAATCTGGAAGTAAATATCTGAAAAATAGTAACTAAGTGAATTCCCAGCTCTGAAGGTGTCGGTCAGTGGTAAAATGTGTGATTCTAATGCACAAACAAAACAAAACTGAAAAACAAATTCCTAGACTTCCCAGAATTACAGACAGGATACTAAGAAGATAGGTGAGGAAAAAAAACAATAACACTGGAGAGCAGCATAGTAAAATTTAGTAAAAATGAGAGACAAAACATTCTAGTTTTTTTTTCCAGTACTGGGAATCAAACTCATGACCTCATGCTTGCCAGGCAGGCGCTGTGCCACTGAGCTAAATCCCCAGCCCCAACAAAACATTCTAAAAGCTTCCAGAGAATGAAGACAAATAAATAAGAAAACAAATGGGAAGACCAACCCCAAACAACCCACAGGAACAAGGACCTTAGTTTCCTCAGTAAAAATGCTGGATTCAAGAAAAGGACATGCCATTTTTCTTTCAGCAAAATTTTAATTTTAGTACAAAATTAAAATAATAAAGATGCTCTCACGCTTTCGGGGCCTCAGAAGATCCGTTGCCTAATGGCTGTCTTTGAGAGACACTTGTGGAGGAAGTGCTCAGTGAGAACAGGATTAAATCCCAGAGAACACAGAAAGGTACGAGGATGACGGGGGACTGAAGCACTCCAAGGTGTACGGTAGTCTAAATAAGTAAAGAGAGGAATGAAATCCCCCCAGCTACATCCAGGTCAGCAGCCCCAACTTTTTGGCAGTAAGGACTGGTTTTGTTGAAGATAACTTTTCCGCAGAGGGGGAGCAGGGGTGGTTTGGGGGTGACTCAAGTACACTGTGTTTATTGGGCACTTTATTTCTATCATTAGTGCATAGTAATATTTAATGAAATAACTATACAACTCACCATAATTCAGACTCAGTGGGAGCCCTCAGCTGGATTTCTTGCAGGGGGACAGTGCCATCTCGGGATCATGGGAGACAGTGACGTCTGAAGTGTGTGCATGAGAGCAGTCTACTCTGCAGCTTCATTGCTGTCAGATCCCTGCTTCACAAAGATAAGAGGTCGGAAACAGAAGCAAGCTTTGCAGTGCTTTTGTGGCAATATCAGGATATTTGCCTTCACGTTAGTATGGAATGTAGGAAGATTTGAAGTTCTCTTGCAAAACCTCTGCTAATGTTAGAAACATGTCAAAAATCCCAGTGTTTGTTTGTCCCCCCCATAATTCCAACTTGGCTTTGAATGCATCCACTTTATCTGCCAACTTGAACACAGTTGTTCTTGTCTGAAGCGACAGGTTGAGTTCGCTCAGCAGGCTGGATATGTCACACAAGTAAGCAAGTTTTGGGGCCCATTCTCTGTCACGGAGATGTGCTGCCAGTGGTGACGGCTTTTCTAGAAGACACCTCTGGAGCAGCTCCCATAAAAGCTCTGGCCAGTGATCTACCCTTAGAAAGCCATCTCATTTGTGTATAGGAGAAGACTTGTGTAATGTGTCCATCTCCTCAGAGAGCTGCATAAACAGATGTGAGTTAAGGGCAAGTGCTCTAATGTGGTTGATAATTTTAATCACATCCTATAAAATGTTAAGTTCAGGTGAGATTTTGTGGCTCACCAGCCTTTGTCTGTGATGCAGTATAGAGACTCATGTTCAGAAGTGACCTCTAGCCCAAGTTGTGAAACCAGGAAGCCTTCATTTATGGCAGCTGCTCCATTCATGCCTCTGCTGACACAGAATGTCCAGGTCCGTTTTCCTGATGTGTACTCACTCAAAGACTTGAACAGTTCTGCTGCTGTGCCGTTGGTTGACAACTGAAGTGCGCATCGCACACCCTAAGGCACATCCTCCTGAAAACTGTACTGCAGGAAGACAGGCATTGTTGCCTTGCCAACATCGGGAGACTCATCCACCTGGACTGTGACCATGGTGACTCATGAATCCTCTCTAACAAGTGTGCCTCAGTGTCCTCTGATGTTTCATCAACTCTCTAGTGATGGTGCTAGCTGAAAGAGGGACACACACCAGCTCTGAACTGCAGCCTCTCCCAAAGCAGAGCAGATGTCCTTTGCATCAGGCAGGGTCAGCTCTTCCACAGTAGTAAAGGTCTGCTTAGCTTTAGCAACGTGATTAGCCGCTAAGAACGACTCTCACAATGCAGACACGTTTGGTGATATGGTGGCCTTCGGTAACTGCTTCTGTTCCTGGTTTTTGTTTTTGTTTTTTTTTTTTTTCCTTTTGAAAAACTCCGAAGACTTGCCTTTTAATACAGGGTGCTTGACCTCCATGTGGAAAAACAATTTTGAGGGTTTCCTGGCTTTGTTGGATAGCCAGTAGCCATGCATACAAAACAGGCTTGGACAGTGTGAATCACCTGCTACAGTGAACCCATAATCTAAGTAGAATTCTAAAGCAGGGTTATTTTTTGGGACCAAAACTGACTGGGACAAGTGCATAGTGCTGGGTAGAGGTGGGGCTAGAAGTGGTAAATAAAATAATGGGCAGGCCCTGTACCCGTAAAATAAGTGTTGAGTTCTGACTTAAAAGTACCACCAGGCACAGCTGTGCAATGGAATACATCAACTCAGTTGCTATTAGGTGCCCAAGGTGCAGCGTAATTGTCACTCACAGGTAGGGTTTTAATGAGTCTTCAAGCAGTTGATTTGCGATGGTCTCTGTTTGAGTCTTTCTGCTACTGTTAATCTGCATTTGCAGCCACTCCCCAAAGCTGGCATCACTGCCTCAGCTCCACCTGAGCTCATTAGGCGTTAGATTCTCATGTAGCGCTCTGAATCTGGATCCCTCACATGTGCAGCTCACAGCAGGGTTCCTGCTCCCAGGAGACTCTAATGCTGTCACTGATCTACAGGAGGCGGAGCTCACTCTCATGGGAGTGGCTGTAAGTGTAGGTGAAGCTTTGCTCACTGGCCTGCAGGTCATCTGCTGGTGTGCAGCCTGGTGGGG